TGGTCTCATATGGAGCAATCCGAGCGGCGTGACAGCCGCAGTGGAAGCCATATGCCCCAGGAGCCTCTGAAAATATTTCAGTGGGACCACTAACTTGCTGTCGAGCTCCCTCAGACAGTTCAGCAGCAGGCGAGCGCGCTCTCCGGAGAGGCGCGCTACCATGGTGACCGAGTCCAGCTCCATTCCGAGAAAAGAGATCCTCTGCACCGGGGCGAGTTTGCTCTTTTCCCAGTTGACCTGCAACCCCAATCGGCGAAGATGCCGGAGCACCTCGTCTCTGTGCGCAGTCAATTACTCCCGAGAGTGGGCTAAAATCAGCCAATCGTCAAGACAATTGAGTACGCGGATGCCCGCGAGCCGAAGGGGCGCTAGGGCACCCTCTGCGAGTTTGGTGAAGACCCGCGGAGACAGAGAGAGCCCGAAGGGTAGGACCTTGTACTGCCATGCTTGACCTCCGAACGCAAACCGCAGAAACTGATGGTGGCGTGGAAGAATGGAGACATGAAAATACGCGTCCTTCAGGTCTATGGCTGCAAACCAATCCTGAGGGCGGATGCATCATTCTGAACGACAGCTTGTGAAGGCAGCGATTCAAAACGCGCAGATCTAGGATTGGCCGTGACCCACCGCTCTTTTTGGGTACGATGAAGTACGGGCTGTAAAACCCGCTCTCCATCTCGGCTGGAGGTACCGGCTCGATTGCACCCTTCGCCAGGAGGGCAGCAATCTCCTCTCGCAAGACAGGGGCGGACAGGGGATTAACCCTGGTGAATACACGCCCGTGAACTTGGGACGCCGTTCGAAAACTGCAGTTCGTAGCCAAGTCTGATCACGCGTATGAGCCACCGCGAGGGGCTGGCCTGCGCTAACCAGGCAGGCAGAGCCCTCGCTAATGACGTCATCGCAGCAATCGTTGACGTACCCGCGGAGGGGCAGTGCGGTGCGGGTGTGCTAACCCGGGGAGCGTGAGGGTCCCAGAGAAGAGCTGGAGGAGACCGATTTGCTCTGGCTCCGCACCCTGACTCCGGAGGGGGGGCTTGGGGGCTGGGAGAAGGGAGACGAGAGGCGGCGCGTCCCAGGCTGGCAGGGCCTGCAGTGCCCGTGAGCCACTGGCGGAGTGCACCGAACCTACGAGCTAGAGAGCTGAGCTCAAACTGGCAGATTTCGGGCTGTCACCTCCGGGGAAGTGGAAAAGTGCCCTTTCATTTCATGGCAGTAAAAGGTGCCGTTGGAAATGGCGCCCCGCCCTCCAGCAGGGAAAGAGCAAGTTCCCTCCTCTCCAGATGACCTGTCCCAGGGACGCTTCGCGGTCCGTTGCCGGACTTAGCGGCGTTCTGGGCAGAGGGAGTTGCCTGCTTCCGAGGTGCTCGACGCGCTCGCTTCGCCAGGGGCGAGTGCGGGGGCGGTGCAGCTCTCGTAGGCAGGCGCCTTCGGCGAGGAGCAGGTATGGATGGCATGGGCTTACGGGGCCGCCGATTAGACATCACCCATCGGACTGCTCTCTCACTGCCTCGAATTCCTGGGTGAATTCGCAGACTGTGTCGCCGACCAGCTTGGGATATGGGCAAGAAATATTTAATGAAGGAATAATGAGTCAAGAAAGCGGACTTTGTCAACTTCGCGCATATCAACTAAGTTTTGTTAGAGGTGGGGCTCCTGGACCACTAGTGTGGACATCGTCCTCCCCAAAGCACAAGCAGCGGACTTAGAAGTCCGAAGAGCTTAGTCAGCTGCGGTGCGAAGCTCATAAGCCTGGGTTGGACCCACCCTCGTGCAGCTCGGCCAGCGCCTGCGCTTGGTAGCGCTGGTCGGTGGCTATCGCATGCAAGGCGGATGCAGCCTGGTCTGTAGCTTTGTAAGCTCTAGCTCCGAGGGAGCCGAAAACTCACAGGAAGAAGGGAACGCCCCTCTAGTCAGTCCGGCCACGGAGCTGGGGGATAAACCATCTCCAACCCACGGCCGAAGCAGCCCGGGAAAGCACGGCTAACACGTCCGTTTCAGTATCCGTTTTGACAGCGCTCACCTGCCCGAAGGGGGCGAGCGGGTCCGGATCATCGTCGGACAATGAAAGCCCACCCTCCGATGCCGCGGAGGACATCTGATCTCCGGTGTCAGCGAGCGTGAGAGCTACCATCTGATTAGACGGATCACTCCCAGCGCCCGAAGCTTGGATGGAGCGCTTGGAGAAGCGAGAGGTCCGCGAGCCCTTAGGCGGCAGATTTTCTTTCGCTGGAACCCTCAGATCTGCCCGAGCGCCCGCTGCACAACAGGGGGCGACCAGGGTGGCTCGCTCTCTCACGAAAGTTAGCCGCGATCTCAACTGCGCGACGGTCATGGCATCGTAGTGACGACATGAACCGCCCCCGAGCACCACATTAACATGCTGGACCCCCAAACATGTAATGCAGTGATCGTGCCCATCATCCGGAGCCAGGAAACCCCCGCAACCAGAAACGCACAGTCGGAGCGCCGTCCTGAAAAGGACGTGCTGCACGACTGTGTTGCTCTTTTAGGATGCTTTGCAACAATACGCACCGCTCTGGAGGACCGGACCCAAAGGGACGCCAGGCAAGGGAGAAACCCAGCTCGACCATCTGCCGCTGCGTGGACTCGCTCTGGACCGGGAGACACTCGTTCGCTCGAAGTGGCTGTAGACAGCAGGAGGAACCCTCATGAAGCTCGATCAGAAAAGTCTCTGAAGCTAAAAGGATAGCGTCTGCTGGCGCCAGGTGTGCTTATATGCTATGTTAATTGCATATGCAGCACACCTGCGCAGGCTTGCGCTGCCAATTCATTCTTAATTGGCCCGTTCAATACTCTTTCAGACGAGTAGCTTCTGAACCGAATCTCCCATACGTGGATTTAACATCAATCCACTTATAGTGCTGGAGTTCCCCCCGAAGGGGAACTAAAATGCACAGCAAAATTTCAGTTTTGGGTGAACTACTGTATCATTTCTGTCAATCAATCGATCGATCAATCAATCAATCAATCCAACCCAGGCTCATTATAGATACGTACCCCTGTATAAATTTCTGGAGAATGCAAAATATGTCTTAGGAGCTATGTTTTTTTTGCAGATTTTGCAAACTGTGTACGCTTTTTGAGATCTCAAATTTCCGTTTACACCTGCTCTTCTGAATCCACCAGAAATCCACCAGAGGCTGCTGTCGACTGACTGACAGACCGACCGACCAATTACCCCACTGACTCCCTTTACTAAACCCAACCGATAGTGTTTCAAAAGCAATTCAGTAAAAGAAAAGCCACATTTTCATATCTTACCACGTTCTCCCCGTTATTTACATGTTTATTTAATTTTTTGTCTTTTGTTTTACCTGCTTTCTGGAACCATTTTTGCCAGAGTTGAACCCCATTGTGGGGGGCAACTCTGCTCTGCATCTTAAGTCTGTCGACAAATGCGACGAGCCACTAGGCAAACTGATAACAGCGTAAAAGCCATTCACATGGAGTTAAGCGGTCAGCTGGTAGTGCTCAAAGGAAGCCGTCGGCGACGTCATACCGCCATGTAGCGTTTGTTTGAAAGACAAAAAGCAGCCATACGTATCTCTGGCAACATAATTCATGCTCTTCAGAAATGTATACTGGGGTACATATTCACAATGAGCCTGTGTTGTCTTGCAACAATCAATCACTTTCCTTTGGCTTAATCCTTGATTTATCAGGAGTGGCAACAGCGGAATGAACTGACAATTACTCTGGCATATGTTTTATGCGGCGGATGCCCTTCCAGCCTTAAACCATCACTGAGAGTACACAAACTCATGAAAACACAGACACACTTTCCCATTCACACATAAACTACCTGACAAAAGTCTTGTCGTCGATCACAGTTGTAAGAGCAACAAATTATAACTTGACTTCTAGTTGATCATTTGGATAAGTGGCAGAAGGTAGATTTTTCTGTTAAATAATTTGTTGAACTGCATCCCAATCATCACAAACACTGCAGAATAACTATTTTAAGTTACATGGACCCAAGATTCTGACAGAAATCAGTCAAGTTTGGTGATGGAAAAATCATAGTTTGGGGTAACATTCATTATGGGGACATGCGAGAGATCTAAGGTATCCAGACATTTGAGCTGCTGATTACATTACGAACCACAGGAGAGGGCAAATCTTTCAGCAAGATGTTTTTTCTCATTCTTCAGCCCACATATCAAAGTTCCTGAAAGCAACAAAGATCAAGGTGCTCCAGGATTGGCCAGCCCAGTAACCAGACATGAACTTTATTGAGCATGTTTGGTGTAAGATAAGAGGAGGCATTGAAGATGAATTCAAAGAATCTTGATGAACTCTGGGAGTCCTGCAAGAATGTATTCTTTATCATTCCAGATGACTTTATTAATAAGTTTTTTGAGTCATTGCAGAGATGTATGGATGTAGTCCTCCTAGCTCATGGGAGTCATACACAATATTAATTCTATTCCTGCCGCACCACGACTTTATATTATAAACTGTACATTGTTTCTGTTAAGTGCCAAAACTTTTGTATTTTGTAATAAGCGTAATCTAAAGGTCTTGGCCTATCATTTAAGCCATTTCTGATATCAAATGATCAAACAGAAGTCAATTTATTATTTGTTGTTCCTAAAACTTGCATAGGTGGCAAGACTTTTATTAGGTAGTGTATATACTATGGCGAATATATACTCACGCACTGATAGACTTTGGTCTGTTGGTAAAACCGGAGCACCAGGAGGAAACCCACACAAAGCTGTGGAGAACATCCAAACACCTCACAAAAATACGACCTGACCCGAACCAGTGACCTTCTTGCTGTCCAATCAATCAATCAATCAATCAGTCAACTGCTTTTGATAGTTATAATTAGGAGTATAGATCACCCCTACATGTGTTCATCATTTAATTCCATTCAAGTCATTTATAAATTAACATTATTTGTAACCATGGTAACTTTTTTGTAAGTACACCATTATGTAGTAGATTTGATACATGTTTGTTTGACTCTGCAGGAGAGTGTGGATCTCGGAGAGATAATGTTCTCTCTGTGCTACTTGCCGACTGCAGGGAGACTCACACTTACAGTCATCAAATGTAGGAACCTCAAAGCTATGGATATTACTGGTTATTCAGGTATGCAGCTGTCCTCCTGTGCATCTTCATTTTCTCACATCTGTCGGCTTGCTTCCCTCTTCCTGTTTTACACTTGGACAGCCACATTTATCATTGTCAGAAAGTCAGACATATTAGGATCATGGGAAGACAAGGGGAAGATGTGTTGAGAAAAGTGTGTCACACCTCCCTGCTCTCTTGACAGATCCGTACGTGAAGGTTTCGCTGATTTGTGATGGGAGACGCTTGAAAAAGAAGAAAACGTCCATAAAAAAGAACACGCTGAATCCAACATACAATGAGGCGATCATCTTTGACATTCCCCCGGAGAATATGGATCAAGTCAGCTTACACATATCGGTTATGGACTACGATCTGTAAGTGCTATTTGAGTGTTTCTTTGTACAAACATCGGTAACACTTTACTTTAAGGTGCAGTAGATGATTGTCTTCAGAAACATGTATTGTTGTGCTAGTTTTAAAAGTCTCTTCACAATCCAATAGTGATGATTAAAGTAAATGATCTAAATGTGTTTATATGTATTTTATTCTTGGTAAGGCATAAAACTAAAAAATGTTCATCCAATTAAATATTGTCGGGCCAACATCTCCCATAATTCCGATAAGTAGCCCAAACTGTCTGGCAACAAATGTAGATTTGGACTGCTCATCTCTGTTCATGTATATCCACCATTAGCGTGTGCACAGCTGCATACGCGCCGCGCGTTCATGACACGTGCACTCGAGGCACTCACAGTCACAGTAAAATCAAATGCTGAATTTAAAATTTTTAAAATCCTGAATCTTTATTGCAGTTACTTTTGCACGACGGAGGAAGGACGATACCGTGGCTGAAGTGTTTCAGTTAGACATCAGTAAATAACGTTATTCCGCCTGTTATTATAAGTTGCTTTTATATTCACATTGGGTCATTTTTGAACAATGACAGCCTCCCTATACTGTTTACCATGCTACTCTGAATATTCGCTCTGAAATAGCATGTGAGTAATAAGTGAAATTCGTGCACGACGCCAGACAAACACTAACTACATTTCTAACTGGCGAATGACATGAACTAGAGTGCTGTCTGCTGTCATGTCGTGGTGTGCGCGCTCGCAATTTCAAAAGGCGTGGCTTTGAAACACAGTCCCTCCCCACCGTCTAAAGATAATATACCAAGCAGTTAGCATTTTGGCAGATCACCTACTGCACCTTTAAAGGAGGTGGTCGTAAGACTGACTCTTTTATAGTCATGAAATAACAGGTCATGAATGTAAATGAGGTATGTCTATAACAACTCTTGTTAACTGTCATTAGCTCAGTTATGTCATTTAAAATACAAAGATGACATTGTTTGAGATGTTTTTGGTATTACAAATACATAACTTAAATACATAAACAAATACATCACATCCAGTTGCCAGTGGTTTTCAGATTGCCCAAGCTAACAACCATACGCACTCAAAAGGAACAAGATCACGACACCAACCTCATCAATGGGCAATCTACACGTTATCATTCTCGGATCAATGCTTCGTTGGATCGCTCTGGTCTTCTGAATAATCCACATCTTGGTCTTGATGGCGAATCTCCTCCAGAAATGATAGCGACTCTTTGTTTACAAGTTTGTGGCCATTTAAGTAATTGCTGTCATGTGACAGGAAGGACTGTACCTCACGTTCATTTTATACAAATTACAAAACCAGAAAACTTTTGATTTCAAATGCACTTGGTTCATTTTAAAATACAGATATCAAGCTTTATTTAGATAGATTTCTTATGTCAGTGAAGCAAGTATTCACTGAAATTCCAGTTCATTTGTTGACCACCAAACAGTCATAAAAGCATACATCTGGTCTGAGCTTTTCCCTGGAGAAACATCAGTCTATAGTGATTGGCTCCTGTATTAGGGGGCGGGGTTTCATTAACCATATTGACCATTACACTTTTCCCCACTCAAAACTGTGACATGTCTTGTGTATTCTAGTCTTTGGTTCCACACAAGTGTTTTGTTTCGGGACATCGTAAGGGAATTAAGTTAGCTTATTAGTTTTTTTGCTAATTTAAGTGGTTTGAACATAAAACAATTAAGTTGTCCCAAAAAAGTATTGAAGTATTGTTTTTCACATTATTTTATATAAGTTTTTTGACCAGACACAAACATCATTTTTTTGAGTGTAATACATCTGCTGGGTTGTTGTTATCATGGCCTACCCTATTATGACTTATTCTTGCCAGTTGTGTTTGCTTCACACCCATTCATAAAGTTTCTCACATAGCATTGTGGCATAGTACAGAGTCAATTGGACAACCCAAGCTCATTCTGGAAACGTAGCCCCGCGGACGTTTCTGGAGACCGCGATTTACGTGGCCGGAGGTACGTAAAGGCCGCGTTTGGTTTTTTTCGAGCGAATGCTGCGGGGCGGTTTGGCGCCGCTCCGCCCCTCCTCTTCGTGCTCGCCGGCCGACGGCTCGCCTCCGAGTGGAGGGCTTCAGGGAATCAGTTTGTCCGCCTAGCTCACAGCGTTGCGTCGGCGGAGCGGAGGCCCCAGAGGAGAAGGACGAGCCGGAGCCGGCCACGGTGGACGACGACCGGGATCGAGTCCGGGGAACGGCGGAACGGAACGGAACGGGGAACTTCCCATGCGACTCTTTATCGATCGCTCTGTGCAACAAACTAAGTGTTATTTACAACTATATTACCTGTTATTCACAGCCTATGTAGGTTCTGTTCACTATAGTTCACTAAAGCAGGCATCATTGGCGGATATTCTCTCGGTAGTAAACAAACAGTGCGTCAGCTCACGTGTCATTTCGCAGCTGCAAATACATCATTACAATAAAACGAAAATAACATTTTTGGATGAATTATCCTGTATAAATATAGCATGTGACACTTTTAACTCATTTTGGAGGTGTCCATGCTGCTGAACAGAGGCTATATAAAACTTGTGTGTCTGTCTTTACTCTTTTCTTCTGTCTTTGGCTGAATCGTAGAAAAGCTGAATTAAGTTTGTGTGTAGGGTCGAATAGAGATTTATCGTGCAGCCCAACAATATAGCATGGAATTATGTGATATTTGGCTCAGCCTTTGTCTTGACACTTGACACTACCAAGACAACTTATAAAATATTGGTCATAACTATAATTGACTTGAGGCTATCATACAGGGTGGTCCATTTATATGGAATACAATGGGAATGGTTGGTGAGATTACCTTCCTGTTTGTGGCACATTAGTATATGTGAGGGGGCAAACTTTTCAAGATAGGTGGTGACCATGGTGGCCGTTTTGAAGTCGGCCTTTAAGAACTTTATTCTTTCATGAGGTGTTATGTACAAGTTTCTGACCTCTTACTGTATAAAATGTGTTCTTATAAGCCTGTGCCGGCATTTCTCCTACGGTGTTGCTATCAGTGTGTGAAGAGTGGGAGAAGAGGGTTACATTGACAATCCAACACAATGGGCAGCACATTGAACACATTTTATAGGTTGACAGAAACTTGTAAATAACTTATGAAAGAATAAAGTTATCTTAAAACCAAGCACACCGTTGTTTTTCTGCTGAAATTCTTAATAGATTTAATGTGTCAAAGGACCCTCTTCCTATTGAAAAAACAAAAGTTGGATCCAAGATGGCCGACTTCAAAATGGCTAAAGTTTGCCCCCTCACATATACTAATGTGCCACAAACAGGATGTTAATATCACCAACCATTCCCATTTTGTTACGATGTATCCATATAAATGGCCCACCCTGTATTCATGAATGTTCATGTTAAAAACTTTATGACAGCATCATTAATATTTAATGACTTATAAGATTTTAATGACTAACTAAATTACCAATGTAGTTGATGTCAAGAAAAGTGTTAATGATGTTGCTATAAAATTCATAAAATGGTATTATGGCAGTCATGTTTATGACAGTTTTATGACAATTTATGTTGTCTTGATTATGTCAACTTGTTGTGACAAAAACATCTCAAACATTGTCACCTTTACATTTAAAATGGCATTACTGAGCTAATGACAGTTGTTGCATAAAATCTCATGTCATGTCATGATTATAAAGGTTCCATTACTGTCTTATGACCACCCAAATATATTGTTGTCAGTCTGCTTCACAAATCTATTCCTCATTCTCCCGGTGTGTAGAGTGGGACATAATGAGATCATTGGAGTCTGTCGTGTAGGGATCCATGCCGAGGGGCTTGGAAGAGACCACTGGAATGAGATGCTGGCTTACCCTCGAAAACCCATCGCTCACTGGCACCCACTTGTAGAGCCTAAGAAGTCTGAGAAGGAGGTGACTGTTTATCCTTAAAACTTTTCTCAGTGGAAAAGTACATTTTGAAGAAAAGTTTCTCTGTTTTCCTTCTCTCTTTCAGTGGAAGGCTCGCACCGCAAGCTTTGACAGTCAAGGCTCTTGTCCATCTCCCAGACTCCCTTCAAGTCCATAAAAAGAGACAGCCTTTCTCTTCGACTTCAAGCCAAGTATCTCCAATGTATCTGGAGAGATTCGAGAAAAGTCCTTAAACGACATGTGACACAACTTATGTCTGTGTGGACATGCAGCGGAAAGCAGAGTGCATCCTAGCCAAGTTTTAGCTTATGTTGTGCTTGGATTGAAATGTCACTTTCCTACATTGGGTAGATCTACAAGCCACAACTCAATGAGGTTGAAGAATACACTTTAAGATGAATTAAAGCACCATAAAAGGGTGTATTTTCTGATGAATCTTGTAAAACTGATAGATGTAAATTATATTTTATCTGACATTCTAATAGTATGAAGATATAGTTTATTATATATTTAGCCATTTCTTCCTTCCTGTTCATTTGTCTTGTGTTTAAAGATTTGTATGACTGGAAAGATATATGAAATCCTCTGTGATATATTAGCCAAATTGTATGTTGTTTACATGCTGATCAGAGTAATTCCATTGATCTTCCTTTCATTTGTGAAGTAGTGAATCTGTTCTGCCACCAAAAACACCAATGCCAAGAATCGTTTGTATTCTGTCTACAAATATCTCATCATCCGTGTAAATTGTAGAGGTTTTGTTTGTATTTAATCATTAAAGTTGCTGTTTTGAGTGTTCTAAATATTTTTCCATTGTTTTCCATTATTAAGTTCACCTCACAGATGTATCCTCCATTATCCATAATGTGTGGTTAAAATCATCATAATTTCTCAACGCAGTAATTGTAGCTTCCAAAGTATAAAAAAAACATAACGAATAATCAAGGTTGCAAATAATCCTTGGCTTTCTAAAATGACTTGAAATTATGTCTGTGTAAATTAGAAGCACTGTTTTACAAAGACTGGTTTTGTATTTTACATCAAATGTGAAAAATGTTCATTGTTCTGTATTTTTCCTGTTACCTTTGATGTGTTTTCTCTTTAGATAACATGATGTATTTTGTTGGCTGGCCTGGCTGGTACTCATTGTAATAGTCACCGGCGTTTCTGTATATGAAATGCCTGATTCAGAGCCACTTGCACCTTTTATATTGAGAATTTGTATTTGTATTGTACATTTGCTGTTTCAGAACATCCCCTTGTACTTCAAAGGTGTGATTAAAGTTTTTGCTTCTATTGGTTGATTTGTTCTTCTTTCATTACTTGTTTGGCTAAATGTTAGAAATAGCTGCATGATTAGGGCCAGTTAATATGTGTTTCTGCACTGTAAAAAAAAATGTAAGACACAAGGGAGTGGAATTTAAAAAGCCTTTTAGGTTTCAAGATGAGTTATTTTAATAACTTGTTTTAATTAAGCTTCACGTTTTTCGGGTGCTGTACTGCATTTTGCGAAGGAAACTGTAAAAGTTGTAAGTGTATTACATTGTGCTGCTTTACTTTTATTGCTCTAGGCCTGTACACATGAAATAGACAAACAATGTGTTCTGACATACTGAAGCACTCCAGTTATAAAACCCGGCTTCAAAAATATGCTTTTCCTCACTTGTTTCATTTGTCTACCCTTCATCTTATAGGGATAAACAAAAAATAAAAATGTAAGCTAGTACTCTAAAAATGTATATTTATCCTAATGTGGTTCCAAACATTCACACATTTGTTTTGTGTGTGTGTGTGTGTGTGTGTGTGTGTGTGTGTGTATAACAAAATAAGATATTTAAAAAAATGGAAACATTGACATTTATAGTATATATAGGATACCCTCGTTTTGTCAGGAACATTCATGTTTTGGTCGCTGCATGTTATGTTATCTGAAGCTGTCCACTAAAATGTTTCCGTTTTAAACACACACTTAAACGACAGCCAAATACACTGGAAAAGGCCTAACAAATCGTTAATTATGAACTGATTATTTTTATACAACAGTTCTGTCTGGCTCTTGAATTTGATTGGCTAATAGCCATGGGATATTCTGCAAATAACAGGACTCACCCTTTATCCTATTACTCCATCCACATACAGTGACAAGCAGAGTTTGACAAATATTGCTGCTGTTGGACAACATGTATTTTTGAGGCTTTTGGGTGAGAATGCAGTTGTTTAGATAGCAACTATGAAGTTTATTTATGAGGATAGTGCCTATTTTAAAATATTTATCATTTCGGAGCATCGGATTTAGTGCATTGGCCACCATCAGCCTGTCTGAGAAGACCAAAGAAAGTGACGGTTGACGTTCCGCCACAAGATGGCGACAGAGACCGCATAATAAGACCTTAAAGGGAGGAAAAAAATCAACGTTTTCTCAACATGTTTCAAACTATAGCTGAACAAATAATTAAAAATCAGGTAAGTGACATTCTAAGTTGATGCCTCTCTTTTGTATTTTGTAGTGCTGCATTTATACCACAGAAACTGGTAGTGTTTGCTTTGCTTTGGCTTTTTTGGGGGGTTAATTATTGTGATAACCCGATTGCAATAGAAAAATACTGGGGAATCGTTTGCTTACAAATTAATGACATTTCTTGCTGTTTAGTCTTATAAACTTACAATGTGAGCAAAACTACTTGTTTTATCATCAATTTAGACAGAGAAACATGCAAATACTAGTTGTAAAGCGACGTTTGTGAACTGGCAATGGTTTGTTCTGAAGGTCAGCTGCTGATGTGAATGAATGGTGGAAGAAAGTAGTACCTTGCACAAAAAGGTTTTTGAGACTCTTTTGTTTGTTTGTTTTTGTTTCATACACACGATTATGCCGTCGAACTGTTGTATTAACGCAATATCACTATAGCAGAGCAATATGGCTGCAGCATCGAGCCAACACACTCCCTGAACCAGAGCCTGTGTACGGCCGTATCGCACTCGTGTTATCAACAGAAGGCACTGCGAGCTACGGTAATATCATTGCGCCCAAGCAGGGAGGAAGAAGAACGAATGTTATTTTCATCGGTTATCAACAGAACGTCTCGGGTTACGTATGTAACCATAGTTCCCCGAGAGGGAACGAGACACTGCGTCTAACCAGAACGCTAGGGGAACACCTCTTTTATACGCGTCTTGAAGCACATGTGAAATCAATCTAATGTAATTAAGCAGGTGTCGTCAGACCAGAGAGTATAAAAGCCTGTACTGAGCATTCAGTATCAACTTCGAATTTGCTTGAAAGTAGTAACAGGCAGAAGAGAGTATGGCGGAATACGCAGTGTCTCGTTCCCTCTCGGGGAACTATGGTTACATACGTAACCCGAGACGTTCCCCTTCTAGGGAACTTCAACACTGCGTCTAACCAGAACGCTAGGGGAACGCAATACCCACTAGGCCAGACTCACTGCTGACTGTGAACGCACACTACGCAGTGAGAATAGAGGACCCTGGTGAGGGGTCTACATCGAGTTGATAGTGACGCACAAATGTATGTGGAGTCGACCATCCTGCCGCCAAACAAATGTCAGAAAGGGCTGAGCCCGAAATAGAAGCTTTGGAGGCCCCGACAGCCCTTGTGGAGTGGGCCTTAACAAATTTAGGTGCAGGGCGTCCAGCAGCCTGATAGGTAAATGAGATAGTCTCAACTATCTAATTACTTATTGTCTGCTCATTCGCCGGACTCCCCCTTTTTGAGGGTCCGAAGCAGACCAGTAACTGTTCACTCTTTCTCCAGTTGATAACCCGGTTAACATATGTATTCAGAGCTCTAACTGGGCAGAGTAAGTTTAACTTCTCTTGGTCCGACGACTGAAATGGGGGCGGGTGAAAGGCCTGTAGCACAGCAGGTCTCGCCACATGAGTGGGCACCTTAGGCACGTACCCCGGTCTGGGATAAAGAAAGGCTTTGGACATGCCTGGAGCAAACTCCAGAAATGAAGGTGCAACCGACAAAGCCTGGAGGTCACCAACCCTTTTCAAGGAAGAAATAGCTAATAAGAAAGCTGTTTTTAGTGTCAGAAACTTATCTGACGCCTCCTGCAGTGGCTCAAATGGGGGAACAGAGATGCCCTCGAGCACCAATGTTAAGTCCCATGTCGGTACCCTGTGTGTGCTGACAGGCCTTAGCCTTATGGCTCCACGAAGGAAGCGACGAATTAGCGGATCCTGTCCTAGTGACTCATCATCTAGGGGAGAACGGTAGGCCGCTATAGCTGACACGTACACTCTCAGAGTGGATGCAGCTAACCCAGCAGACAGGCGATCTTGGAGAAATTCCAGCACTGAGGCTACCTGGCAGCTGACTGGGTTCAGCTGGTGTTCTCTGCACCAAGCTGAAAAGAGAGCCCATTTTAGGGCATAAAGCTTCCTTGTGGAGGGAGCCCTGGAGCTTAGAATGGTCTGAGCAACCTCGGTTGACAGTCCATACTCTATGAGGTGGGCCCCCTCAGAGGCCACACCCACAGTTTCCACAGGTCGGGTCGGGGATGAAGTATCATTCCTCCCGCCTGGGACAGAAGGTCCCTCCTGATGGGGATCTCCCACGGGAGACCCGCCAGCAGGGATATGAGGTCCGAAAACCAAATTCTGGTAGGCCAAAATGGGGCTACCAGCAGTAACTGTACTCCGTCTTGACGGATTCTCTCCAGGACTCCTGGGAGCAAAGCGACCGGGGGAAAAGCATACAGACGTAGCCTCGGCCATGTCTGAACCATGGCATCCAGTCCCAGAGGGGCTGGATGCGAGAGAGAAAACCACAGTACGCAATGCGTGGTCTCTTGGGAAGCAAACAGGTCTACCTGCGCTTTTCCGAATCTTTCCCAAATGGTCTCCACCACCTCGGGGTGAAGTTTCCATTCCCCGGATCTCACCCCCTGCCTCGACAGGAGATCTGCTCCCATATTTAGATGGCCCGGGACATACATTGCCCTGATGGACAGAATTTTGTTCTGGGCCCACAGGAGGATCCGATGTGCTAGTTTGCATAGCATTCGAGACCTCAGACCCCCCTGATGGTTGATGTAAGAGACCACCGATGTGTTGTCCGTGCGGACTAAAATATGATGGCCCCTTAGATCTGGGAGAAAGTGTTTTAAGGCCAGAAACACGGCCATCATCTCCAGGCAGTTTATGTGCCAGTAACGATGATGTTCTCCCCATCGTCCCGCTGCGGGAAGCCCCCTCAGGGTTGCTCCCCAGCCCGTTAGAGAAGCATCTGTCATAAGCATAACACGATGACAGACAGCCCCCAACATTGGGCCCTGGGACAGGAACCAGGGCATTTTCCACATACTTAAGGCTCGAAGGCAGCGCCGCGAGACCTTGATCATGCGGAAAGGATTCCCTTTGAGGGAAAACCCCCTGGATTTGAGCCACCACTGCAGGGGTCTCATGTACAGCAGACCGAACGGAATTACGCTGGCTGCTGCTGCCATGAGACCCAACAACCTCTGAAAGTGTTTCACAGTGATGAACTGGCCTAGTTTGACTCTGTGTACGGCTGACTGAATCGAAGCGATTCGTGGCAGGGACAGACGTGCTCGCATCGTCATGGAGTCCCATAGCACACCTAAAAAAAATGGTCATCCTGGCTGGAACAAGCACACTTTTTGCGGTGTTCAACCGAAACCCCAACCTCCTGATATGGGTGAGAACGACATCTCGATGCCGAACTGCCATATCGTAAGTCTGAGCTAGAATTAGCCAATCGTCTATGTAGTTTAGGATACGTATACCCTGCATACGAAGTGGAGCTAGTGCCGCTTCGACTACTTTGGTGAAGGTTCGAGGTGACAGAGCTAGGCCGAATGGAAGAACCCGATACTGGAACGCTTCGCCCCCGAAAGCGAACCTCAGGTATTTCCTGTGTTGGGGAAGGATGGAAATATGAAAGTATGCGTCTTTCAGGTCTATCGTCACGAACCAGTCCTCGGACTGAATTTGTGACACCACGTTTTTGATGGTTAACATCCTGAACCTGAGGGCCCCGACGGACCGATTAAGATTTCTCAGATCTAATATGGGACGCAATCCCCCATCCTTTTTGGGAACTATAAAATACCGGCTGTAAAACCCTGACTCTCTGTCGAGTGGGGGAACACGCTCTATTGCGCCTTTCTTTAATAGAGCCAGTACTTCCTGTTCCATAACCAGAGCCTGTTCTGGCTTCACTACGGTGGGTGTAATACCATTGAAGTGCGGTGGGCGTGCACAAAACTGTATTTTGTAGCCATGTTCCACTGTGAACAGGACCCACTGAGACACCATCGGCAGGTGTTTCCACGCTGCCAGAAAATGTGCTAGGGGTACCAGCCTCTCGAGACTGGCCTCTGGTTGCTCTTGGACCCCCCGAAGAGGGGGTGGGGTCCCCAATGCCCTCAGACACTGAGGAACGCCCACCCCGGGAGACACAGAACCCCCCACCAGCATACGTGGTGAGGTGGTCTCTCCCTTTCTCCACGGACCCTTGTTTAGTGAGGGCGTCGAATAGTGCTCTCGATGTCCAGGGGGGCCTTGGGAAGCCTGACTCCCAACACGTCAGGACTTCCTTTTATCCTTCGCCTTCCTCGAAACTATTATAGTCCTCGTGGGAATTTTAGGGGAAGGCTCAGGCTGAGAGCGTGCTCTCCAGGCCCTCTTTTTCTGAGGGGGAGCCCGGGAAGCCACGCTCTCTTTTTGTACTGCACGGTATGAGGAGCTGGTTGACGGCTGGGGCTGTCTTTTAACAGCCCCTTGACTTTTTGGTCTTGGGGGAAGAAAGTCCCCGAGGGAGCTCGAGCGTTTTTTGACTCGGTCAAAGGATTCGGCGACACGATCGACGGCGTTGCCAAAGAGCCCTGAGCTCGATATTGGAGCGTCCAGGAAAATAGCTCTGTCTGTTTCTGACACCTCTGCTTGTGTCAGCCAGAGGTGCCGCTCAGTAGTCACCAGGGTGGCCATAGATCGCCCCAAACTAGAGGCCGCCTCTTTAGTAGCCCTTAAAGCTAAATCCGACGCCCGAAGAGCTTCTCGAAGCTGTTCGGGTGTCGCTCCCCCGCCATCTAGGCACTCTTTAATTAGGTCAGCCTGATATGCCTGCAACACTGACATAGTGTGCAGGCATCCGACAGACTGACCAGCCGTCATAAATGCTTTGCCGATAAGACCTGATGTTAATCTTAATGGTCTAGACGACAAAGGAGGGACCCTTGCAGATTTTAAATCTGGACGCAGATGACGCGCTAAATCTTCTTCTATTAAAGGCATTTCTTTACATGCTTTTTCCCCAAGCCCACGAACTGCTGAATAAATAACCGTTTTCGGTGTCATTAAACGTGCTGAATAAGGATTTTCCCATGATCTCGTAACAGCCTCATGTAGCTCGGGGCAAAAGGGGAGGTCCCTCAGTGGAGGATCTACTCTGCTGGGTAATTCTCTTTCATCCAGCATTCCTGTCAGACGCAGCTGTTGCTGCTCACGTGCTGGCTGCCACTCTATTACGTCAAACCTGTCAGCAGCACGTGAAATCACCTCCACTAACTCCTCATATTCCACTGACTGGGGCGGCAGAGTCCCCGACCCTCTTTGCGTTTGCTGCTGCGGCGTCTCTGTTTCCTCGGAAACGGAGGACGCCGCCCTCCCACGAGGCGCAGAAGAAACCGCAGAGCGTGCTTCTGACGCTCCCGAAGGAGGATTAGATCTCACGGATCCAGAAAGAGAAAGGACAGAGTCCGTCTCCATCTCATCCGCCAGATCTAGCTGCGAACCCCACGACCGAAGTCGACGCTCAGCCTCAGCACGAGCGGGACCCGAACCGCGAGGGGAACGCGCCACGGGAGCTTTATTAAAAAACTCCCTTCTACTACGCAGCACTTTGCGGGAGAGAGCGTCACAGTGCCCACAGTCAGCATTCTCAAATGCTGCCAGGGCATGCTCCTCTCCCAAACACTCTAAACACATATCATGTGAGTCACCAGCCGTAATAAAGCGAGGGCATGGAGGCACACAACGTTTAAAGTTTTTTTCTGCCATATCAAAACAAAAAAGTAAGTTGTCAGTTTTTTTGTTTTTGTGTATGCAAGTCAGTAATGAAAGTTCGCTGAAAGAGGGTGTATTTTCACGTGCGTGCTTCTTGAAAGCAAAGAAGTTGATACTGAATGCTCAGTACAGGCTTTTATACTCTCTGGTCTGACGACACCTGCTTAATTACATTAGATTGATTTCACATGTGCTTCAAGACGCGTATAAAAGAGGTGTTCCCCCTAGCGTTCTGGTTAGACGCAGTGTTGAAGTTCCCTAGAAGGGGAAACACATGTTTTGAGGTTAGTCACATGTCATCTATTTCATAGTTCACTACATTTAAGTAAAAAGGAATTGTAAATTGTTTAGTACAAGATAGGTGGTTTATTCCGCTGTTGCTACCCCTGATGAATCTAAAAGGTCCAAGCCTAAGGAAAATAAATTAATAGAACAAGATATATTTTTCACTTCGTTTTTAACTTCAAACGTTCCAGAAAGTTCTAACTTCATAATGCGGGAACTTCCATAAGCGCAACTATGGTGAGTGAAAACAAGAATAGAAGGCCATGAACATGAGACCATGAAAAATAAGCTGTTTATGCTCATACCTTGTGATTAGCATAAATAATAAGCCTCATTAGGGATGGTCTGTTTGCAAAAGAGTAACTGTATAGCCTACTATACAGTTTGAACAGTTTTGTAATTTGTTGTTGTAAAATCCTAATTTTATCAAGTAGGCTAGGCTGACACTTTAAAATGTGTTTTGTTATTTGAAATAGCGTGCAATTCTAGAAATGATTAAACATTTATATTCATTATTTTCCATTTTAGTTATAATGTAAGCATAAGAAACCCACAAACCAATAAAAAACTAAATATACAAAAATGTATTGCTCCCTATTTTTTACTTCACAGATAATTGCAAGTGTACAATTTTAATCATAGTATTTTGATCACTGAAATAGGAAATGGATGGTTGTATCAGCACTTAAAAGGTATTAACAAATATCTATAATAGATGTATTTGTGAAATTATTTATTGAAAGTATGTACTTGATATTAACATAACATATGAAATCATTTATTAGTTCTGCTCCAGGCAAACTGAGATAAAGTGTTCATTGTTGAGCCCTGTACATTAATTTCTAGTAAAGTCTTAACAAAACAAATGTGTCCAACCAATCATATGTTGTGTTTTCTGTGTAAATACAAAGCTCAAACATATTGAAATGACTTAACCAGGTTGAATAAGATAATTAAGCCAATAACATGGGCATTTCAGTCAGCCTTCTACACCTCTAGCTTCTTTTTTAGTTGGAGTTTGTAGAGGATTTGATAGCCATCGTCCCAAGCGTAGAGCAGCTGTTCCACAGGGCTGTATTTGAGGCTGGAATGGGTGCCATATCGCTTTGGAAAGTATACATGTGGAGCTTCATCATTGTTGACCATATCACTGACGTCAAACACACACTGAATGCGAGATCGACTGGGTAATTTGGAGTTGTAGACCACATAGACAGTCCCGCAGATGACAAATGCTGCCTCTGCATTCTCCCTCACACAAGGGGTGTCCCACATCTGCTGGATGTCTAGCGTTTTGGGGTCTATCTTGGCCAAAGAGATGTGCCGCTCGTTTTCCTGAGTGGCATAGATTGCCCACAGTCCCTCTTCATCCACTGCTAAATCAATGAAGGTCTCGGGATTCAGGCTGTATACGGGGAGCTGGTTTTTAACTGGAAAAACAGCACTGTCCACAATTATGTTCTTCTGGAGATCAAACTTTATTAGTTTCATCTCTTCGCCCTGCTTCAGGTAGTACATGTGGTTGTTGTAGATGGCGTGGCCCATTCCACGCCAGGCCGAAGGGAGCTGTATAGTGGTGGCTCCAGAAGTGCCTTGGGAGGACGTGAATTCACGGACTGTCCCAAATTCAAATACTGTATTATCATCAGTCCCGTTTAGGATGTACACTTTCCCAGTGGCGCTTCCCATGTCCTTGGTCCACATGCCCTTAGCACCGCCCACTCGTTTGAGGATCTTCATGGCTTTGATGCTGGAGATCATATCACTGCAGTCTAAACATAAGGACACATTTAAAATATTGTCATTTTTGGGTCAACTGTCTCCTTGTTATAGTGTATTATTGCACAGCTGTCTGGAGGACTTGATTCTGATTGGTCCAAGGTACGCTCTTCCCAGATAACAACTGCCAAAGCTAATAACTTAGGCTCATCCATTAAATCATGTTGACCAGCAGTGAATGTGTTCATATTCATATTTATATGATTGTCTATCAAACTTAGATTGCTTGGTGCCATCTTGTGACTGAATAATGCGTAGGTTAGTATATGCTCCATTCAGCTGTTTTAGATTATGTTAGCTTTAAAATGTAACTAAAGAATTACTAAACAATTGCACTCAAAACTATGTTTTGGGTTTAAATTTTACGTTTAGTGGCAAGCAGCCATGTAATAGGCAGGGAAAAGTACTGTAAATCCAGGTGGTTGTTTTCAAAGAATAAATCACTTCAGTCTTGTACAACAACACTGGCCCGCTGATAAATCTCTCTGGCTTTATTCTGCAATAACAACTGCCTGGTAAAGAGGCAGTTCAACAACTCAACTTCATAATATCATTTATCATGTACTCCCCTCATTCCAAACCCACTTTCATTAATTTTTGTAACACAAAGGAAGCTAAATGTTTGTACCTCCGTTGAATGTCAGTTACCTAAATTTCGAAGCTTTTAACATTTAGAAAAAGTTTTTTTTTTTAATGTGTCTGAAGCAAGACGAGATGGGTGATTGCTTTATATGTGAACAGGTTTTATTTGGCCTTTTATTCACAGATAAACATTGTTTGGAAGTCAACTTTGCAGTATTGATGCATGAAAACAAAAACTTAAATGTGCAATGTGACATTCTGATTGGTTCTCACACATCAAGAGAGCATGTTTTAACCAAATTTGAATGCTTTAAACATTGTTTGCTGATGTTTACAAGTGAATAAAATCCTAAATTGAATCTATTCCTCTTGTAAAGCTTATAAAGCATGTTGGTTTATTTTTTGATCTCTGTCACTTTTCACAGCATAAAAGTTTTGAGTGAAGAGAAACTGAGTGGAGGGATAGTATCCTCTCACATATCATAAAAATATGTTAATTTGTGTTCTGGAGATGAGTGAATGCCTTATAGATTTGGAACAACATTATGGCGAGTAGAATTGTAATTTTGGGGTGAACTAACCCCTTAGTCAACAAAATTTCTGCATCATTTCTTTTCATTGCATTTCTATCAATATTTACCCTTTTTGTTTCAAAGTTTATCCCGCTCCTCAAAATATTACTTATTGTGCACTTTACACTAAAGCCTGATTGAACACTAAAGCCTAATGGCAATGCACAGTACACTAATGACAGACAGGGTTAATCAGATTTGTGCCGTTTTGCAATGAAAATGCAATATAGAGCTGCTGAAGTGTAGAGGCGCTGTGTGAAAAGCATCATGATTTGTCCTCCAGCAGTATAATTACTGTCTCACTCAGTGATGGAATAATAATACTTTTTATTTAGTACCTCTAAGTGCTTTTCTAAACGAGGACTTTAGGAAGATTAGACCCCCTCTTTAATGCATTATGTATTACTCCGTCAAGTTGCTGTATAGCTCAGAGCTTGATTTGATTGAACTTGCTTCCCTGTCATTCTCATGCCACTTACCCACAGAAGCTTTGCTTCATTATAAGATTCTTAAAACTGAATCTTTGAAGTGCGTCTGGCACTTTTTTACTTTTTTTTTATTGATTTGATTTGATTATTGATTTGAAGTTTTTTTAACCATGTGATAGCATTGTTTCAAAATTATTATAACTATAGAACTACAGTGCTTATTGGAAATCATCATACACTGTTAAAATCTATACCTTTACACACATTACATCCTGTTTTCAAAACACCTTTAGGATGAAATGTTAGAAAGGCACAGATTAGTTGAAGGCTACAAAAGCATTTAAAATGCTGCAAACGTTAATTGAAAAGTGATTTGATGTCAGGCTGTATGACAAATGAATTTATCATTTCGGTTACACTTTATTTTGATGGTCCCTATTGCACATTTTGTTGACTAAAAGTTGCATTGCAACTACAACTTTTCATTTGAGTATTAGTAGACTGTCTGCTTAAAATCTGCTGATACTGCTCCTTCAGCAGATATTTACTGCAACTGACTATAAGAAACTTTACAAGTACATGTCAACCTACACTAACTCTAACCATAACCCCAACCTAACAGTCTACATACAGCTACAACGCATCTAACAGCAACAATGCATAAAATTTAATCTAAAATAAAAAATGAAGAAATATATTAAAAACCTGAAACTAAACTAGAAATTATATGTATTAATATACTGTAATAATATATGAAATAGTATGAAAACATTTCCTGATACAAATTTATTTTATATAAACATGACAGATTTACTAGTCCAATGTATTTTCATTGGTGTTATGTTGTACATTTCGTGAAGACATTTTTTTGTTGTTGTTTTTAAAATTTTGGTTGTTTTATTTTAAAATATTTACAAATGTTCTTGTTGAATTCTCTGAATTGAAATGACTGTGAATAAATTTTGCCATTTTTAAAAATGCATTTACAGGGCAGACCAAAACCCCCATTTACACTGTAAAAAAATCTATGACAACAACATATAGTTTATGTTAGTTTCTTATTTGAATATGTTAGTAAGATTTTAACTAAATTTAAGTTATACAAAGTTAATATTTTTTGTCTGTTTGATTGAAAAATTAGATGACTAGAAAATTTAATTCAACAAAAAAAAATTTAAGGCAGCAAGTATTTTTTATTCTTATGTATGTTTTAAGTTAGCAACAATGTTTGCACACAAAAAAAATTGCACCTCTAATGGATTGCAAATAGGACTGCAGATTACAGAATTGTTTGAACGATCCAACTATGGCTCATATTATCATGCTGAGGGACGAGCATTACTCATAGCTAAGCATGTGGAATGTTACCTAAAGCTCTTTACCTGTAAGCTTGGCGTACTTAGCTTTGTTTCTCTCCTTGACAAACGTCACCTGCTGCTCCACCAGCTTGTCATCTACATCCACACAAGGCTGCGCGCCATTCTGTGTTTCGAGGTAGTCCATCTCTCTCTCCACGCGATCTACGCGTGTTCCCACAGTGTCCAACTCGCTCCGCAGCGCCTCCTTGCTCTTGTCCAGGCCCTCTAGCTGTGCCACCATCTGCTGCTTGAACTCGCGCAGCTCAGAGGCATAGCGGCTGGTCTGCTCATGCCACAAGGAGATGCGATCCTGCCAATGGAGAAATAAACAAAAACAAGTCTCAAGAGCCTCAGCAAAGGAGATATGAATTAGTCAACTGTAAAAGTGTCAGTGAATGAGGCATCTTTCATATGAAAAGACAAACTCAAGGCTAGCAATTAGCCTGTGGTCTTGTGGGTTAAAAAAGTGCAAGTGGTTCTTCTGGTTAAAAGTCACCAGAGTTTTTAGGTGGTTGTTTGGGTGTTTCTATGTTGTTGATTAGATGTTTTGCTTTAATTTGATAAGATACTGTTTGATAGGAAATTGCGTGAGAGAACGATAGGCAATTAGATCAGGAAAGGTCCAAGAGCCAGGATTTGAAATCGGGATTCCCAGAGCAATGTTGAGTTCGGGCATGGGTTGGTAAAAGATTCTGGCGGTTTGAAAACCTTGGATAAAATATCACGTGTGGCATGGTTGTTAATGGCAGACAGGCTGGTCTGATTATTTTAGAAACTGCTGATCTACTTGGATTTTAACGCACAACCCTCTCTAGGGTTTACAGAGAATAGTCTAAAAAAGAGAAATTATCCAGTGAGTGGCAATTCAATAGGCGCTAATGCCTTGTTGCTGCCAGAGGTCAGAGGTGAATGGCTCGACTGGTTGGAGCTAATGGAAAGGCAACAGTAACTCAAATAACCACTCGTTACAATCAAGGTATGCAGAAGAGCATCTCTGAATGCACAACATGTCAAACCTTGAGACGGATGGGCTACAGCAACAGAAGACCACACCGGGTGCCACTCCTGTCAGCTAAGAACAGAAAACTGACGGTACAATTCACACAGGCTCACCAACATTGGACAATAGAAGATTGGAAAAATGTTGCCTGGTCTGATGAGTTTTAATTTCTGCTGTGAAATTCAAATGGTAGGGTCAGAATTTAGCATCAACAACATGAAAGCATGGATCCATCCTGACTTGTATCTATGGTTCAGGCTGGTGGTGGTGGTGTAATGGTGTAGGGGATATTTTCTTGGCACACTTTGGGCCAATTAGTACCAATTGAGCATAATGTCAATGCCACAGTCTGTATTGTTGCTGACCATGTCCATCTCTTTATGACCACAGTGTGATCTGAACCTGGGATTAGTACGGTGTACCTAATCAAGTGGCCGGTAAGTGTATATGTTTTTTTGTTAATGTTTGAGTAAAAACTACTTTTTTTCCCCAATGAACACAATAAATTTATTTTATTTTTAAGAAACACTTCTGGTGAAAGAGACTTCTGCTATATTCATTACATTAGTTTAAAAAATCATATTTCTTTACAACTTAAAAAGGCATTATTCGAGTTCTTTATTTTTTTGGTGTGCAGTAAGCCACTGCACTGTTTAGGTCTATATCATGCTTGATGTTGGTGCATAAACGATTGGTTTTTCAAATGTTTCCTGAATTGTGGGCTGACCAGTAGATTTTGACGTTGAGGGTCATTTTCTGCTGGAGATATTGTTGACGTAAAAAACTAAATAAAAAAAATCATAAACAGCAGGTAAAAAAAACTTAGATATACCTAACAGAAATTTTTTGTTATTTTAAAACCTTGACTTTTACAAATGGATGTAAACCTTGAAAACGGTTATCGTCACAGGCCTAGTTGAGATATATGTCAGTGCACTAACCAGTGTGCCATCTCCACCAATGTTAGTAGTCAATTTAATATTATTTTGACATCAAGGTAGTCAATTTACATCAAATCGGTTTACAATTTCTCATATTTTTTGTGTTTTGACATCAAGGGGCTCTATTTTGACGGTCCATGGGCAAAACGGAAAGCGTAGGGCGCAAATACATTCAGGGCGTGTCAGAATTCATTTTTGCTAATTTAAGGACGGGAAAATACGCTTTGCGCCATGGTGCATGGTCTAAAAGGGTTGAGTTTATTTTCTTTATGAGTTATAGATGTGTTTTTAGAATAAACCAATCAGAGTCTCATCCCCCATTCCCTTTAAGAGCCAGCTGCGTCGCGCCATAAGCGCATTTGCTATTTACAGGACGTAAAGTAAGTGGAAGCATTTCACAAGCAAACAGTTAACAGTTTTTTTTAACAGAAAACAGTTAAACAGAGCATCTACTGCGAAAGAATGAGAGATAATAGATCTACTTTCACCTTCGCTCTTGGATAGGGAAACCTTTACACACAAACATCAATTAGCCTATAAATAATTAATTTCGTTTGTTAAGCGCAAATATTTGTTTCAAAACTATTTCTAAATTTAGTTCTAATTTCCAACAAACGAATAAATGAACAATAATAACGAAGTGTGTTCAAAAACCTGAGTTATATCCTAAAACACATGCTGTGCCCCATATGGTCTAAAACCTGCAGGTGGGCCAATCTAAGCTTGTTTTTAATAAAACAAATATAAATATGGATATAATAAATAATACTGCTAATAATAATAACATTATACAAAAGCAAATTGTTATGAATGAACTGAAAAAGCCTCCCGAGATGAAGAAGACATAAAAGCAGTGGTTTTTCATATTTATGTAGGCTAGAAAATAATGTTTTGTAATATTTTTATCCTTTATATTTATATCCTATATATATTCTTAAAGATATTTGCATATTGCTCTACATCTTGTGTGTAGGCTATTAAGCAGTGTGTAAGCGAGGAGCATTTCTGCGCTGGACTTTAGACCGGGTTTGTTTTGGTCTAATGAAAAATCTATTATAGTTTCTCAAAATAGCAACGCTCCAGCAGTGCACCTCGGAACGCCTTCTTTTTTAGACCAGAACGCCTATGGGCGCACAAATGAGCACAAATGCATTTGCTATTTAAAGAGCGTGGCGCAACGCCTCAAAACGACTCTTGCGCCAAGCTGAAACTACCATACAAGTATTGCGCCGCTCCTTGCGCCACATTGCGCTGGGTGTATGCCTGATTACTTAACCATTAAAAACATTAAAAATATGATTTTTTTGTTTGGCCAATGACAATATAAGGTGAAAGATATATTATGAATCATGAATGTAAACTATATTATTGTGCCATATTGCAGATTTTTTTAATCAATGTGCATTGTGCAATGTTCTACACAAATGCATTTGGCTTGACTGACTTAGCATGTTAGATCATGCGTATGCAGACACTGACTTGAGCTTAATGAACATGCATGTTCAAAGAAATCATACATTTAAAACCGTGAACTCGAGCACATTAAATACCGAGTCAGGCAGCCCCAATGAGTGCAAATTATTTAAATATAAGCCCTCCCCTGACAGCTGCACAAATTCATGAGGACTTTGGCACTGGAACAGCATCTTTTGCGCTGCAGATGGATCAACCTTTGGCAGCAAATGTTCTTTTTTGAATTTGTGACTCAGTGGAAGGAAAGAAGCAGCGAAGTGCGTTTTAGCATAATCACACGAAATGACTTGCTGTACGTGCAGAGTCAGCACAGAGAGAAAACAGGAGAGAAAATTTCCTTCATGTGGCCGATTCCAACACATAGAGGGGGATCGTGGAGAATAACCACAAGCAGTAGGAACGAAGCGAAAGCTGAAAGAATGAGATAAAATGTGATTGTTATTTTTTTCTTTTGACTAGCAGTTGGGTAAACCTACCATTTTCAGTAGTCTGGTAAATAATGTACATTTATTGATGGATTTTGTTATACTGTATATATGAGCCTGACCACAAAACCAGTCTTATCCCTTTAACTGCACACCAAGAAAAATGTTAACTCCTAATGTTGCTAGTTAACACAGATAATTTCTCAAATGTCAACCTCTATTAAATGGTTGATATGTCGGTTCATGGTAAAAGTACCGGAATAAATACATATACTATGAAAATCAAAAAATATGAAGTGTAAGACCAATTTATTTAAAACATAACCAAAATAATACATTTTTGAATACTAAATCATCTTTATTTATTGAAGCATGCCATAAAATATTTTAGATTCTAATTTAACACGTTTTCTTTCTTTTTTTTTTACAATAAAACCAAAATCAAGTGTATTAGTGCGACAGAATTATATTTGTTTGATTTTTTTTTTTGTAAACCAACAATGCTGTGTGTAAACCATTATTTAAAACGGTCATTCTTTAAATGACTTAAACAGTGAATAATTTTAAACAGTCAAAATATGGTCAACCATTTCGTAGAGCAAGCAGTTAAAGGGTTCCATGTTAAAGTTCAATGAGACATTTTGTAAATTTCTACTGTAAATATAAAAACTCAATTATATTTTAATTATATTTTTATTTCAATCTTGATTAGTAATTCTTAAGTACGTCATTTGGACAAATTTAAAGGTGATTTTTTTTGCACCCACAAACAGATTTTGAAATCATGAAAGACATGTTCTCAACCATATATACCAAAATTATCCTAAAAATTAATTATTAAAAACACATAAGCTTATTTATTCGACTCTCAAGTGATGTATAAATCTCACTTTTAAAAATACATTCTTAGGATGTTTTTTTGGTTCAGTGCAGTGTTACATATTATATAAAAAGACAAAAGTAGCTGTATAGACATTATTACTCAACTCTTAATTATAATGAACCCTCTGGATGCCTTTATATTTGCATGCTTTTTAATGAAAACAAAGTTCTGTGCCACCAAATGTCACATAATTCATAGTGATTATGATACATTTACTAAGAGTAAGAACATTTAAATAAACACTCACTCACTATACTTCAGCTTAATCACTCATTTATCAGGGGTAACTGCAGCGGAATGAACCACCAATTACTCTAGCATATCTTTTTATGCTGTAGATATTCTTCCTGTCACACATTTAAATAAATAACATCTGGTTGCAACATTAAAATATTTTGGCTGATACTTAAGATCAAATTTGTGCATCTTTCCTAAACAAAAGACTTAATTTCTTCAAGCGTTTCAGCAATAGTGTATCATGTACAATCTCTTATCAACAGCAGTTTACTGTTTGCATTTCTGTGTACATTATTACTCTCGTATAGAAAGCTATGTGCAAACTAAAGAAGTATTACAGACCTTACTAACATAAATCATCCAAAAACGAACTCTGTTGTCTTGTTCTTTAGATTTACTCCATGTAAGTCTGTATCTGGAGGCCAAGGTCTTGCTGGAAGAGCATTACTGTACTTACCTCAATAGCAAGGAGTCTTCTCTCCAAGTAGTCCATAAGGGCCTGCTGCTGTGCCCCGACTAACCCAGAAAGAACAAGGACAAGGAGCTGGAGAGCTCTCATCTTGAAGACTGAAGAAGACTGCTTGGAAACGGTGAGTGTGTGTGTGTGACAGGCAGAGAGGAAAAGCCCTCATGCAAAGGTTTTGAGTTGGCTGGAATGTTTAGAGAAAGAGCAGAGCAAGAGGAGGAGCTTCCCACATCTGGAGCGTCTCTTTTTTTTGGAGAGCTCGATTACCTACGTCTCCTACAAAAAAAGTTGAACATCAAAAAAAGCGTAGTGTGTTTAATTATTTATAATTCATGATGTGATTCTGTGAATGCACATTATATTTTTAATGTTTTCAGATAGGTCAGTGGTAGTGTAAATTTAGTTTGAAAGTCATATAAATTACTCAGTAGGCCAGTTAGAGGGCACAAAGAGAGTATTTACTGATGCTCTTGCCTTTTTTAATTCTTCAGCTTTATTTTCTTTGGACGAACAGCACGGCTTGCTTTCAGTGTTGCATAACACTAGACAATTTCCCGACACTGACTCATATTTCAGACTAGTGTAAACCATGGAGTGTTTCACTGCAGGCACCAGTTTAATGCGAGGAGAATGAAATTCGTGAGGATCATTCACAGCGATCAGTCAAAGTGTGGGGACTTGTTGAAACAAGCATAAATAACGGTTTGTTTGTGGCTGTTATGTGGTGCAAAATACTTTATGCAAATCGAGAAAAAAATATTCTTGCTGCATAGATTTAAGAAAAAAAACAGGTCAAAAAAGGTCAATGTTGCAAAAACCAAACTAGAACTGAAATATAGAAAGTAGGCAGTTGTGATTTTAGTATAATTATGCAACATTAATCTCATTGAGGTCTGTGATGTGAGATTTTAAAAATAAAATATTTTTTAATGAAAACTGTAAATGAACCCGGCGGTATGGTGGCTCAGTGGTGGCTTCGAGTCCCGACTGTGTAATTGCATTTTTGTGTGGAGTTTGCATGTTCTCCCTGTGTTGGCATGGGTTTCCTGCAGGTGCTCCGGTTTCCCCCACAGTCCATACACATGCCAAGCATATGGGTGTTTCCCAGTACTGGGTTGCAACTGGAAGGGCATCTGTTGCATAAAACATATGCTAAATAAGTTGGCGATTTATACTGCTGTGGCAACCCCAGATAAATAAATGGACTAAGCTAAAGGAAAATGAATGAATGAATGTAAAAGAACTATAAACTAAATACTGTTTGTAAGTCAATCTAATGGTTCACATACTACTGTATGATATAAAAAAGCAGGAGCAATTAAGTCATTTTTTAAAGAAAATGATGACATTAATATTTATATGATCAAAAAGTAAGTATCATTATTATCATTTCATTGTAATTTAAAAGAGCCTGATCATAAGCATACACTGAAAAAAATTATTTAAAGATGATTCCTTGGATTTACTCAATTTCTTTACGTTAAGAGGTTGTAAACAATTTTTTTGGGCTGAATTTAAACAAACAAATTAAGTTGAACATTACTAAACTTAATTTGTTTGTTTAAATTCAACACAAACAAATTGATTGCAACAGTTCTGCATGCAAAACTTTTTTCAGTGTACTATTCACACAATATACATAACAATATTTATTATATCTCAAAAACATTCACCTTAAATGATACTGAAATGTTTAGTTTTATAATCTAAACTTATTATGAAATATTACTCAAATACATTTACACATTTTCATTTTGTGTTTCCTCCAGGTGCTCCGGTTTCCCCCTCAGTCCAAAGACATGCGGTACAGGTGAATTGGGTTGGCTAAATTGTCCATAGTGTATGAGTGTGAGTGTGAATGTGTGTATGTGGCGACCCCGGATTAATAAAGGGACTAAGCCGACAAGAAAATAAATGAATGAATGAATTTTCATTTTGCCCACTTGTACAATATTGCTATTTGCATTTACAGTAAAGATTTTAAAGCAAAAAATGCATCATTTAACATGGAGTTAACTACTGGAGTAATATATTTTTACAGCAATCAATTACTTTTGATGATTTTGATAATATTAGTACAGTTGGTTATTTCATGTTGATGCTAGTGCACGGTGCATGATGTTTACAGTGAATTGGTTTTAGTAAGTGTATTAATTTAACATTAAATAAGATTATTACATGCAGTAAATATGTAATTAAGCACAAATCAAATACTTTTAATTCTATGTTGCTAGTTTACAAATATTATAACCACCAGGAGGCGCTAAAGCATAACACCAGTGCATAAGTACACAGTAATGGGTAGTGGAGTTCTTCCTTTTTGGGGGCAGCAAAGAAAATAGATGTAACCAAAAAGTTTTAGCAACAAGCAAAGCATGATGTCATATTGTGATGCAATATAAACACTACAGCACTTATTAAACCAAAGAAACAATCTTCTGTTTATTTAAATGCCACATATTTTCAACAAGAAAAATGCACAACGCAGAGACAGTGCAAGAGATTTTATGAGTTGAGGGAATCTATATTGATCAGCATAGACTCCTTATATCAAAACGTTTACAGAAATTTAACTTAAAAATTTCAAAAGTTTCCATCAAAATCTTGGATAAAATTCCTGGTTTAAACTCTTCACTTTACAAATATAGAGCATAAAGTGAATCCGTGAGGCAAATAAACATCAAACATTTTATTGTGAAAAATGATCAGACAAATGCAAGTACTATCCTTTTGCATACGCCCCGTTAATGGAAAGAAAAAGATTGTTCAGATTGATATATTTTGGTTGAATGGATAAATGTAAGGAGTAATGTGACATTAGAGTCTTCCTGGGAGAATCTTCGCTGTAGCTTTTATAGAAATCAACTTAAGAGGCTGTACAGGATCTCCAACAGCAAAAAAGGCATCAGTGCTGCTTCTGTTTGGTATAAGTAATGTTAGTGATGGCTTTGGGCCTCCCAATGCCCCTTTGCACTCTGGGGGGGTTTTGATGTTTTCTTGCTGATAAGGAACTTGTAATTACTCTGTGGTTAGACCTTCTGTTTAGTTTCTCTCTCTCAGTCTCTTTTTTCTTGCTTACTTCCGTTTTAGTGCAAACAAGAAGGATGTGATTATTTATAGAATTGTTTTTTCTCTAAATCACAAATAACATCAACAATCGATCATTGATGGGTAAAAGGCTAGTTTACATCTCATACAATATTTTTTTTTTATTTAGATTAAGATTTTAGTTTAGGAAGCTTACTTTAAAATGCTTTTTACAGTGGCTATGTGGTTAGCATGGTTGACTCACTGCAAGAAGGTTACTTGTTTGAGTCTCGGTTGGGCAAGGAAACCTTTTTGTATGGAGTTTGCATGATCTCCCTGTGTCTGCATGGGTTTTCTCTGGGTGATCCAGTTTCCCAAAGCCCAAAGACATGCTTCATAGGTAAATTGAATAAACTAAATTGTCCGTAGTGTGTGAATGGGAGATTGTGTGGGTGTTTTCCAGCATATGTAATCTTAGTTCTGGGTTGCAGTTTGAAGGGCATCCGCTTTGTAAAACATATGCCAGAGTAAATGGCAGGTCCTCTGTGATAACTCCTGGTAAAAGCAAAAAAACTTAAAATAATCAAAAGGAATGTGAGTGAGGGATATTTGAAGAGCTAGTTAATATCAGATGCATGCTTCCATTTATTTATTTTATTTATTTATATATTTATAATGATTGGTTTTAATCCCACTGTCAAATGCAGTAAAAAGTGCACTGAGGAAGATTACTCTTAAATGCTTGCTGGTTAATGCTCTTGGTTCTAATTGGGTAAGTTTTGAAACAGAGCTTTAATATGCATATGAATCTTATAATCCATAAGGGAACTGAGATCAGTTGGACAAATGGCCTCATAGGAATTGTCTGCAGTGGAAACAATCACACACCATGAGCCACCAGAAGAATCAGCGCTACGGGCCCTTAGTCAGCATGTTAGCAGATAAGATTCATTTTGCTAATTATGTTTGAAAAAAAAAATTGGAAAAGCCAGATTGAGCAACAACCCAATGGTGAATCTTTGAGAGCTGTTTATAAACGCAATTAGAAGAGAAAAAAAGATTGGTTTAGATGTGGGATGCATAATTCAACAAACCAACCAAGCTGTAAAAACTGATGGAAACATCTTGCAAAAGCAGAAACACTGTGTTTTTATAACTTATAAAAATTAATTTTCCTTAAACAACAAATAAGCAATGATTTTGAAGTTATGTGATACTGAAGTCTGGAATAAGGATGGTGAAAATAACAGGACTAATTTACTTCTTAAAATAAATAAAAGTAAATTTTTTAATACAATTAGTTATTCACAATTATTTACAGTATTTTACAAAGTGTTGATGTAAAGCTTGAATTGCACATAGTGTCAGAGAATCTTATTTGGGAACAATAATAATAGTGTGTTTAAATTGTATTGCTACACAATATTATTTTAGTTTAATCTGATACAGACCATACATATACTATTTCATCATTTTTACTCAAATGATATCTCTTTGATAAATATCAGACACATGAGAAAATGATTACATCAAAGTGAAAATTTGCACACAAAAAAAATCAAGAAGCTTCGACTTATTATAAATAAGTTTTTTTTTTTTTTTTTTTTGCCCAGTTTCTCTCAAAATATTGTATGAATTGTCACTTTTCTTTAGTTGGACTAAAGTTGACTCCACCTTTAAAACAACTATAATACTTTTGTTATATTAGCCTGACAGTTGTTAATACTTTTAATATATACCTCAAATCAGAAAAAGTTGGGACAGTGTGAAAAAATGCAAATAAAAATAAAGTAATTAGGTTTAATAATAATAAAAAGGTTTTTATTTGATCCTCTGCTGAGATTTTGAGAGATTTATTTTGGTTTTTATCTAAAGCCCAACTCACACTGTGGAAATTTTAATTTGTGATTGTAGCTTGCAGACTGTATGAACACACTGTAAGATCTCGCACTGATTGCATCATCAGATTCTGGTTTTGACTCATTTTCGAAGAAGTCACACTGCAGGAAAATGTCTGAATTCAATCTGCATTTTTCAAAATATTTTCTTTTGTGTTCAAAAGAATGAAACTGAAAGAGGGTTTGAAAAGGTGTTGAGGTTTTGTACCTTTGTGGAACAACGGTTATGTATTTAACAAAGATCTTTTAATTTTT